TATAGCTTGCTTATTCCTTGTCTGGCCTTTGGGTGCTTTGGAAAATAAGTTGTCCCCTTCCTCTCTGAGGCAGCCCCTTAAATATTGGAACACTGCTATCATGTCACCCCTGGTCATTTGTTGTTTTGAATGTTTTGTTGTTTTGAATTCAGAACAATTCTGTTCAAATGTTTTTCAATTAGCAGTTTAATTCCAGACTTCAGAATAAGCAAGCTATATTTCTTGGATGGATCAAGGGACTTGTTTTACCAAAGATGTTGTCATGAACAGTAAGAAAACTTTGAAGTATTTGCAGATATGATTTCAGTACTTACTGCTGTCAATATTGGTCCATGTTATGACCTCTGAAAGATATCAAGCAATACCCAACCAGCTACTTTCCATACAAAATCAATGTGGCAAAACCAAAGAGAAAGAACATCCCTGACACATTAAGGTCCATAGAAAGGGAAGCCTAACAAGGTTCAGTAGTTTTTCTTTTTAACTGCATCAAATATTGTGCCACAGTATTTTTTCAAGGGATTTCCTTTTAATAGTATAGTTAGGCTCAATAGCCAAACGTAATCTTCTTCTATATATTTATGACATCTAGTCTCAACGTGATATAAGAATAACATGTTCATTTGATAAACATCAAATTCAAAGTTGGCAATAAATGTTTCAACATTTTCAGAATTTCAGAATGATTAGGAAATGATGCCTGGAGATTTTTGCAATCTTTTTTGAACTGGGAGAAGGAAGCGTAACCTAGGCTTATTTCCAAACCAGATAAGGCTTTACTTTCATGTAAATGAGAGTTGAATATAATACGCACCTCAAATGTGGAAGACTGAGTACATAAGAGTACAATCCTACAGTAAGATCTAGAGATGTCCCCAGAGTCATTTGTACTTAGGAAAAAAAATAAGTCTGTGGGTGTCCATGGTGGTATGTTTATGTGTGTGAGTGTGTCTGTGTATGTTTTATAAAGTCAAGATACTGACTACACTCATGGGATCTAAGCCTTTCCCTATTTCCCATGGATTAAACTAGACACACAAGAACGAGGCCAACACAGAAGAGAGATTACTGAGTTGGTGGATCAAAAGATAATCAACACATTATCACACATAAAACATTATTTTTAGTCAAATGACAATCTACACTTCCCACAAAATATAGAAAGGATACCACAAGGTGTTCCTTTCATCCATATGCCATTTGCAAAAAAAACCTCAAGCGCAGAAATGATGTTTTAATGCCATACTTTTTCATCCCTCAAAATTATGTTGCCTGGAAGAAATATAACTAGCTTTGAATGAAGCTGTTAAGTCAGATTTAT